GCATTTTCAATCTGATGACCTCAAGACACTATGGGGCCATTAAACTAGATTTATTTTTTTCCGCTTGAGGAACCCAGTGGAAAAGAGGCAGCAGCTTGTCCAGATTCAGAAAGTCAGTAGTAAGATCCAAGTCTCCAACTCCCTACCTTTATATAGCCACGTTGACTGTCCTTTTCACTTACTCACTGGGTGCCATCCAGAAAACGCTCAGAGTTAGACCTCTATAGCTCTTTGAGCATAGAAAAGGGCCAAGATTAGGCAACGGGGTTTCCCAATGCCAACCACTTTGCACAAGGGGTAGTGAGAGTTCATAAAAAAAGGTGTTATTTGATTACAAGACACGTGCAATTTTTGCATCTGAACGTTAAATTAATTTTTCTAGTTGACTACCTAAGCAGGACTAATTCTGTCTCTGAGTAGGGAGATGCGCTAGAAAACTCTTCAAATCCCTTCCCTGTTTTGCTATTAATGGGAGGTCTGCTGAAGAGGTAGAGTCCCATTTATTTACAAAATACTTCTGAACTCTCACTTCGGTGAGCTCAAAAGAACAGAGACACAGTTTCGCTCTTGCTGGCTCTATGCCGCCTTCAAGCGGCACTTGGCTGCAGAGCTCCCTGAGCTTTCTCAGGGCTGCGACCTCTGCACTGCCCAGGCTGGTTTCCCTACGGCCTGCTCTCACCTTCGACGGTTCCCTTTGGGCATGCAACCCCTCGGCAGGGCAGCAGCCCCGCAGCGGACAGGGCACGGCGCCGTGCCTACGTACCCGTTCCTGGGCCGCCACGTTCTCTAAAGGGCAGGGCTGTCTCCTCGCAGCTCTGAGCGGCGGCCTTCTCCTTCCCTCCGTTACAAAGCTCCAACCCACTGTAAGCGCTCCTAGCACAGCTACTGGATGGCACCTAAGGGAGAGAACTGCGCAGCAGACTCCAAGAAACTAACATGGTAAACGCTGGAACACCAGGCCCTAAAGCACGGGCTTTATGCTCATTGCAAAGACGCTTTACACAGACAGAATAATGAAAAGTCTAAGTTCCTGAGCACTGGAAACTAAGCTAACCTAAACCTGCTGCCCCCAACCCCATATGCTATGTGGCCTTGAAGCTATTACTGAAGCCCCTTGCGAGCCCCTTAATCGTTAAAGAGGGGCTTAGCAAGGCAGCTGGCCATCGCCCCAACCGACCAACCTGCTTCTGCTATGGGTCAGGAAAAGAGCCCCGAACTCCACCACACAAGGCAGCAAACTCATCTAGACCTCCTCAGCGCCCCAGCCGGGCAGGGGGCCTCGGCCGGCGTCAGGGCAGCGGCGC